GCCTGAGCCACTGTCCCTGAGCTCTTTTTGCTCAAGGCTAATGTTCTACCATTTTGAGCCACAGTGGTTAATTGGGGATAAGAGTTTCATGGGGACTTTTCAGCCCAGACTAGCTTGAACAGTGATCCTGAGATCTCAGCCTCTTGAGTAGCTAGGACAGCCACTGATGCAGAGCTATGGAAATACTTTCTAAAAACCTAATAACTGTCTGGATTTGAGGTTAAGTTCCATCACCAGGGGGTTTGTTCAGTGTCATGTTCAGAAACGCCATGTATGGCAAAGGATGGCAAACACTAAAGGCTTCTATAGGAAACTGAGACTGGACCTTCTTGCTTTGTACCAGGCTGCCCATGAAGTTACATTTATAAAGGAGGTAAGTTGATTACTCTAAGTTTCTAGAAAGACAATTTGATGAAGATTAAGGACTTTTTCTCCAGAACAATAGATATATCCAGGTCTTGCATATAGCACTAGCCCACCATCATTCCAGATTAAAAACCCTTGTCTTGATGGTACCTTAGTTAACTCCTTTCTGCCTTAGAAACATGACCTTCATCCTAGTAGTACATTTTTCTTCTCATTCCTTCTGGGGCTATAGAAACACAAATTCTACTATGATTCATTCCACCCTCTGGCATAGATTAATGAAGATGAACATATACAAAAGCACTGTAATACTCCTTATATGTACAACAACAAATTAACATCAAAGGATAACGTAATTTGCAGCCCACCAAACTAAGTAAGCATTTGTCATCAACCACTGGCTATATATTTATAAACCTTGCCATGTACTTAATATTTCTATTTCCACATGTTTTATCCAATACAAGATGGCTGTTTGTCCTTATGTGTTTTAATACTACTACTGGGAGTATCTCCCCCCGCCCCCGTTCCTCCTTCCTTTCCTTTCTTCTTACCTGAAGCCTTGTATTTTGCTAGGCAGGAGCTTTACAAATGAGCCACTGTGTTAGGCCATTATGTTTTTGTTCTTTTTTTGAGATAGGGTTCTTTTGCTGGGGCTAGCCTTGAACCATGATCCCCTGATCGCTACACCTTCCTAGTAGCTAGGCTTTCAGGATTAAGCCATTGTGCTACAGATTACTTTTTTCTATCTAGTTCTTTTCAATCTAGCTTTGCAGGCCAAGGACATGCAAAGAAATTATAGTTCAAAAACCATCAGACAAGCCAGGCACTGATGGCTCACGCCTGTAATCCTAGCTACTCAGGAGGCCGAGACCTGAGAATCTCTATTCAAAGCCAGCCCAAGTAAGAAAGTCTGTGAAACTCTTATCTCCAATAAACCACTAGAAAACCAGAAGTGGCACTGTGGCTGAAGTGGCCTTGAGCTGAAGAGCTGAGAGACAGCACCAAGGCCCAGAGTTCAAGCCCTACAACTGCGCCCCCCCCCCAAAAAAAATCAGACACTCTTTGCTTTAGGGACATGAAACATAAACAATGAGCTCATTTTTGAAGTTCTGTCTCAACATTTAAAATGATTTTATTTCAGAAATAATTAAATTATAAAAGTACTACCGGAGGGAGGGGCATGTTCAATAGTTAGAGACAGATTTGAGTCTTATTTCCAAAGAATGTTGAGATTTCTAATAACAATGGTTTACAATTACTGAATCTTTGCTTTCCACTAGCTAGGCCTTGCATAAGTCTTTTATATAAACTACCTCATGTAATTCTCTCAAAAGTAAAAGAAAAAAAAAACAAAGGAGTATGGAAGACTGACAAATTGATCATCAATTTTGTTTCCCCTTTCTGCTGGGCAGTTAAGCTGCCTTTCTCGGATGTGGTTATGAGATGATATAGCCAATGGAATGTGGGGAAAGTAAAGCAAGTTATCTTCTAGATATAGTCTTTTAGTCTTTCTCCCTTTCTCTACTTGTTAGCTAACAGAGAAGAGTGGAAGGCAGAGCTACAGGATGGGAGACATCAGGGCTGTCTGATTACTGCAGAGGATGCTATCTTGAAAATACTCACATTGAACTTATATGAACAAAAGATTAACTTTTGTCTTCAGTCACTGACTGCATCTAGGATTAAGTAATAGAGTTGTTCACAGTTACCTGGTGGATTGAAGCCATGTGATTTGCCCTTAGGAAAGTGCTGCTATATTCTATTCCATTTTAACAGGTTCATATTTTTTTTCATGTAACAGAAACTGGATCACATATAAGTGATTTCCTGTATTTGAGGGAGGTGGGCACACTGGGCTTCCAAGTTGGGACTAGAAAGAAGACATTTTCCTCAGACTTGAAATTTTTCTTAAAAAAGATGTTTTCTTATAATTTGAAATTTTCCTCAATGAAGAACTTTTCCTCAGACACTTAATTTCTGTCTCTTACTAACTATTAAGAGGAGGCTCCAGTGTTTAAACATCTAAAGTTTATATTCACAGGTTCTCTAGTAACCATATAACAGTCTACAACCTCCAAATTACCTCAAATTCCAACATTTTAAAACAACAAACATTTAGTGGGGCACTGGTGGCTCATGCCTATAATCCTGGCTACTCAGGAGGCTGAGAACTGAAGATTGTGGTTGGAAGACAGCCCAGGCAGGGACTGAGACTCTTTATTTCTAATTAACTACCCAAAATATACAGAACTATGGCTCAAGTGGCGAACTAGCCTTAAGCACAAAAGCTCAGAGATAGCACCCAGACCCTGCGTGCAAGCCCCAGGACCATCACCAAAACAAAACAACAACAAAAAATTCACCACCACCACAATATACCCCAAACATTTATTATCACTCTCGATTTCTGCAGGTCAGGAATTGATCAGGTCAGCTTATCAGGTTGATTTGGGACTCAGGGTTTCTCATGAGGCTGCACTCAAAATGATGACTGAGGCTTGAATAGCTGGAAAGTTAGTCTGATTGTTGGCAGGAAGCCTTAGTTCCCTCCTGCAGCTCCCTTGACTGTCCTCACAACATGAATATACCACCGCTAGCAAGAGCAGGCTCAGAAACCACAACAATGGTACAAGGCCTTTCATGAGTCAGCTTAGAAGTCACACATCATTACTTCTGTCATATCTTACTGACTACATATGCCAGTGAGGATACTACATAAAAGAGTGAATATGAGGAGACAGGGCTAATTGGAGTCATTTTGAAGACTGACTTTCGTTCAATACCTGATTCCTGAAGGCCTACCTAGGAACAGACACCAAACAGTGAACAAAATACAAATGTCCTGGACTTTGTAATGCATCCCTGCTAGCTACATGCTAACAAAAGTGAGGAAGAAAATGCTAAATGCCAGGAAAGAGAAAAGCAGGGGAAAGGGGATACTTGAAGTGGGGACTGCTGATCTGTTTCACCAGAGATCTATTTGGATGATAGAAAGCTAAAAAGCAGTGAAGAAACATGCCCATGTGGTTTTATTTATGGATGAAGAGTGTTCCAGATGGAACTGCAGTGAGTGTACCGGGCACCAGTGACTCACGCCTGTAATGCTGCTACTCAGGAGGCTGAGATCTGAGGATCACAGTTCAAAGCCAGCCCGGGCATGAAAGTCCATGAAACTCTTTTCTCCAACAAACTACCAGAAAACCAGAAGTGGTGCTGTAGCTTAAGTGGTAGAGTGCTTGCCTTGAGCTGAAGAGCTGAGGGACAGCACTCAGGCCCAGAGTTCAAGCCCCATGACCGACAAATAAAAGAAAAGAAAAAAATAAGTGTGCCTATTGTGTCAAGACAACTATAACAGATTCCTAATGAGATCCACTTAATACTTATACCCATAGAAAGGTCACTAGTATTAGTATGTAGGACCCTGAGATTCCTGTAAGGCCTGACTCTCACATAACTGAAATGGAAGCCATAAGATAGTTCTTAGCTGTAGATAACTGATAGGATCTGGCTTAAGTCAAAAGTCTCTCCAGTGACCAATAACAGAACGACAGGCCCAGAAGTATCAGGAAAGCACAGTAGAAGGCTCTTGTAAAAATTTAGACAAGAGATGATGGTGGCTTTCATTAGAGTTATCAATGTAGGTGTAAGAAGTAGTAAGATTCAGGGCTGGGAAGGTAGCTCAGTGGTAGAGCGCTTACCTTGCATGCATGAGGCCCTGGGTTCGATTCCTTAGCACCACATAAGCAAAAAGAAAAAAAAAGTTGGAAGTGGTCCTGTGGCTCAAGTGGTAGAGCACTAGCCTTAAGCTGAAGAGCTGAGGGACAGCACCCAGACCCAGAGTTCAGGCCCCACGACCGGACCCCCCCCCCCAAAAAAAAGAAGTAGTAAGATTCTAGATTTATTTTGCACAACTAATTCACCATTCTAGGCAAAGTGTTTATTTCAGAAGAGATGCATTTAAAAGATCCCAGGGTTGTGACTGCAGAGTAGCCTGTACAGGGAATCCTGTACAAGTTCCAAGAAGTTTCACAGGGATTCACTACTAGGAGCAAAATGAGGTAATAAAGATCAGTGGAAATTTGTGGCCCTAATTCTCAGTTTCATGAAGGCAGCTCTCTATAACATGCTTCGTCCTATTTGGTGGAGAAGGCCTTCCTCATACAGACAGAAACCTCAATGTCTCAATGTCCTAAAGCAATGACAAAATACATACACACAGACACACACAGAAACACATACACACAATGAAAAAATATACCATTTACAAAATCTAAATTCAAGCTATAGGAAAATACTTATAACACAAATGATAAAAATGTTTAATATTCATAACACTTAAGTTTCTAAGAAGATAATCAAGTAAAAATATGGGCTCATAACAGTATACTTTGCACTGGATTGAGGATAAATTAGCAACATATACAAAGTGTTCAATAGTTCTTTGCACAGAATAAGTGTTCAACAAATATGGCTTCTCCCTCTACTGCTACTAGTCCACCCTCCCCATCTTTATTATTACCTTCCTTGGAACCCTCAGATTTATCATTACCACATTTAGCAAGCTGGCCATCTTCCTAATGAAAGGACCATAAACAGTGCAAAGCTGGGTCACCTTTGAATGACTATATTACCTTTTCGTGGTTCTCTATTAGGATCTCAATGACAATGTTCTGAAATTTGATGTCCATGATGGCTGCCACTGTTTCTTCTTGAGGCCGAAGCAGAGTGGGTCCAAACACTACACCAAGGTTTGCCACAGTCATCAAATTCTGCTTGTGATTGTTAGCAACACTGGGAAAGAAGAAGAAAAAAGGCACAAATGAGAGAAATAGTGTGTGCAGAGATGGATAGCTGACCTCTCTGTACCTTTCCTACCTTCTCATCTCTCTATCTATATACTCTGTAGCCATCAGAATTCAGCACACCCTCAGATGCCATGAATCAAAAGAGAGATTTTTCTATTTGTATTTCCATCTACCAAAGTTCTCAAATCTTCATAAGCATCCAGGTTATATTGCTGTATCAGGATGATAGTCTCTCAGAGTTCCATCCTGAAACAACTAACCAACCAATATATGGGCCACAGCAACCAGTGCCAAAATATGAAACTTTGTACATCTGCATCCATCTGCAAGTCCAAGTAACTGCTAATCCCTTGTGGTTACACCTTCTTGGTTTCTGCTTAAACCACTGAATCGTTAATATTTTCTCTAGAACAAATATAAAAACTCCTAACAGCTTTAATTCAGTTACAAAATAAGCCCTATTTTTAAAGTGGGCAGATCTAGTATTTAAAAGTAAGTCAGGCAATTCAGCACTTTAGACTCAAGTATTAAAGTCCCTTCCAATTAAGCATGTAGCTCCCATTAAGTGCAGCATGGGGCATGAACAGAAATAAAAACACAATACTGTATATGCAGATGCATGGCTCTGTTAATATTGTGACATACAGGGTTAGCAGTAGCTGGGCCACAGTCATTTGTTAAATACATATGTGTGTTTTTAGATAAGCAATTATTCAAAACATGTATTTGAACTCCATGCCCAAGCCCCCATGATCTCAATATCAAAGTCACTTGTTTATTTGCTGCCCTGTGTAAACACACACACACACACACACACACACACACAAAGTGATCTACTAGCAACAAATAAGTTAAAAGTTCATGACCTTCATTATCCTTAAGAAAATATCAGGAGCCAACTACTTAAAGATAATAAAAATAAAAAGTAAAAGAAGAGATAGCCAAAAAAAAGAAAGGAAAAAGAAAATATCAGGAGCTTCCCTAAATCACCTGCTGAAAGAAGGAAGCTTATTCATTACTAAGTGGAGCCTAGAGAGAAATTGGGCAGAGATGGGCAGTTAGCACAGACCTGCCTCCCTAGCATTTAGTTCTATTTATACTGAGCATTTTTTCCACACAATTCTATCAATGCTTGCACTGTTTCTCTTGTGTAGTTCTATTATGTAGGAGGGCAAGAGATTATTCTACCTAAAGTGCCAATTTTTAAACTGAGCCTTCATTGACATACTACATCAACCAATTTTATCAGCAGATGTGTACTTTTCTATGATTTTTTTGAGGCAAAGGTTTAATTTAACTTCCTCCTTTTAAAGAAGGAGGGTGTGGTTAGGGCTATGGGATTTTAATTGTGGCAGAGTTCAAGGAGGGGGAAATTTTGTTTTTGACTATTAAGAAATACCTATAGCAGAGAGATTGGCCACAGATATAGTCTAGCCTGTTTCTACTCCACAAAAAGATTTTTTAAATTTTTTTGTAAAGATACTGTACAGAGGGGCTAGAGTTACATCAGTAAGTTAATGAGTACAAAAGGATATTTTATGAGCATTTTCTTAGTTCTACCTGAGACCTGGTTTTACTTAGATATTTCCAATCTACCCAGAACCACTTCAAGCTCCAAGTCTGAAAGAGTTAAAACAGCTGATCAGGTTGGGACCCAGCAAGGAAAGACTTGGGTCCAGAATTACAATCAGCAAGTGTGCATATTTACAAGCTGCATGTCACATCATAGCTTCCCACACAGGCTCCTGTGTGTGGGAGGGAGTTCTGTATCCTTTTGCTTTCCCTCCCAAATGGCTTATCCCTTTTTTCACAGAAGCCTCTGGTAACTTCATATGCTAACCCCTTAACAAACTATGCATATTTATGTATGAAAGCACTTTCAAACTGTAGGCCAATATAAAAATCAACTCTGCCAGTCACAGCTCTGCTGAAAACTATACTCACATCTTTCTTGTCATAGGAGATTCTGCTGTATAATTGTTCTGATAATAATGACAATAAGCTAGTGATGAGTCCCTCTTTCTCTTGTTTTTCTGTTTGTAGTGCTGGCAATCAAACTAAGGGCCTGGCACGAAAGACAAGTGTTCTACTGAGCTACATCCAAAATCAGATCTCTCAAAAACAGCACATTTTCCCCAAGTCATCTTAAAGCCTTCCTCTGCCACTTCCCAAATCTAGCCCACTGGGAAAATAGCTTGGCATACTAAACACCCAGCATTTGTTTCCTCCTTTGTAAAAAAAAAAAAAAAAAAAGGGTGGGGTGGGGTGGGGTGGGGGAGGTCAGGGTTAAAAACACACCCACATGGCATGATATAAAGATTAAATGTGATCATTCATTGGATATACAGTGCCAAAGTATTCACTATGTCCTCTTAGTGCTTTCTCACCTCTCTGTCTTTGTGCATGTCATTCTTCTACCTAAAACTTTACTCTTCTCTCTTCAGCAAAGTTTTTGCAAGGCTCAGCTCAAATTCCCCCTCTTTCTGTTTCCTTTCTGGTCACCTCCCAGTCCTCTACCCCTGACACAGGCAGACTAGTCAGCCTGTTCCTGTATTTATTACATGCTGTTGATATATTTCTACCAAGCCTGAGGACAGGAGCTATGGTATTTAACTTGAGAGTGCTCCTTCTGAGCATGATGTTTGACCCAGGTGAAGCACATTGAATGTTTATTGCAGGTTTAAAGGATGAGAAGAGCTTCTTGGTAAACATAAAACTAGTCTCGGTCCATCTACTACTAACAACAAACAAACAAATAAACAACAACAAAAAACCCTCAAAGTATTATTGGTGATTCTTGGGGAATGCATGTGAATGATCTTAAACTCCCTTTTCAAAATCTCAAGCTATGTTCTACCTCTTAGATTTAATTAATGAGTAATAATTACTCTGATTTGCAGGTCCCAATGCCAAAAAGCATTTGGAAAAAAGCACAGTAATTCTGGATCAGCAAGTCTGAATATAAATAGACTTGAGATTACCCAGCAGAATTCATTTCACTTTTAATGATCCATTTTATTTGGGAACTTAACAATACACATTGATCAAAGCCTTAGGAAACTTTTTTGGGAAAGCTTGCACCTTTTTCATTGCTAACTACCATTATCTTTTGGTACACTGAAGTAATCAATTATTCTGTCACTTGATTATTACAGCTCATAACTTAGTACAGCTATGTTCATTACTCTAGAATGAATTATTAATGACTTGAGATCTCTATGTATCCCAGAGAGAAAGGCCTAGACCTCAGCTTCTGCTGGCACCAGCCATGCATTATAGCTTGATGGACTTACAGATGTGTGGGAAGCGCGCTGGCAGAGCCCTGGGAAGTGGGTCCAGCAGAGGCCATGGGGCTCATTCATTAGTGTGGTCCATAAAGCACAGATTGCCTGCTTTCTGTTCTGGTACCTGAGCTGCTTGAGCTTTTCCTCATATCATTCAACAAGTCATGTTGAGTCTTAGAGTCCACACACAGACATATCTTGTGCATTGCACATTGTACTGAAAAAGTCTGACACATGCCTGTCAGATCCCTGTGTCCAGATGGGCCACTCTGTTGGGGTGCCATCTGTGTGCACTGCCAAGACAGAACGAATCCTGCAGGCTTACTTTGCATGTTGCAGATAAACAGTTCGAAATGTGATTTCCACTTGGGGGAAACCCAGTCCCTTTTGTCATCATTGGGGTTTGCTGTCAACCAAGAAGCAGTACATCTCCCACAGGGCATGCCTTTGGGCAATCGTCACAGAAACTGCACCCCATGTTCCATGCAGGTCCCTTGTGAATTGGAATTAATGAGGAAAGAACATGTCCTAATGAAAATGAACTTTGCGGGGAGACTTCCTGACAGTTTTATTTTCAGAGAAAATAGCTGGACACTCTAGGTTGGTCCAACACCCTCTGAGAGACAGAAGGAGATAAATTGTTTCCAGATAAGAATAGCGATGGTGACTGTGGTTGGGGGGAGGAGGGCTTAGGAGGGAGCAGACAACAGCCAACCCTTTGGGAGCCTATAGAGAAGACTTCCATGCTGTCATGGAAACTACATCTGTTTTCCTTGAGTGGAAACGAGAGCTAGAGCACTCTAAGCACTAAGGAGTTCTCTATAATCACACCAATCTGGAAGGACTCCAGTATATATGTTTGCCTATGAAGGGTTTGCAAATTGGTTTGGTCTTGAGCTCTGGTGTGCTAGGTTCCCTGGACACAATGTGATGACAGGTTAGCAGTGTCTGCATGGATTGAGTGTGCCATCACTTATCTATCATCCTTTATTTGCTTCAGCTTCCAATGTCAATGATAATGGTAACTTAAACTTGCAGGTTGTTTTTTTTTTTTTTTTGGGGGGGGGGAGGTCAGTCATGGGCCTGAACTCTGGGCCTAGGCGCTGTCCTTCAGCTCTTCAGCTCAAGATTAGCATTCTACCACTTGAGCCACAGAGCCATTTCCAGCTTTTTCTGCTTATGTGGTGCTGAGGAATCAAACCCAGGGCCTCATGCATACAAGGCAAGCACTTTACCACTGAGTTACCTTCCTAGCCCAAACTTGCAGGTGTTTTACATTTTACAAAAAGCTCTACAACTATTTTTATGCTTATTTGACCTCTATTACTAACTCCAGATATCAGCTCTCAAACTTTCTGACAGTGATTCAAAATACAACATGCATCTTCCCACGTAATATTTCATCATACATTTTCCCATATAGACATGTATGAACAGATGGGCAGAAAATCACATAGACACATGATGTATCAGAAACAAAATTTTCATTTAACAGTAAGTAGAATTTATTCTGATTTTTTCTATTTTTTTAATCCGCTAAATTGGCTTCATAACTCCACTGTTACGTTATGGAAAAACACTGTTGTAGGGGTGTAACAAGCAAATATGAGTATAGAGGAATGGAAAGTAAAGCAAGGACAAGGTGGTAGCACAAAGGCTGAGTCCAATGGAGAACACCAGCTGGCATGCCACGTGGCCCTCT